CTACGTGCACCCTGGTGTATGTAAGTGATTTTGACTTAATTGCGGTCTACCCATTTATAATCTAATACGCGTTCTTTATTTTGTTTTCATACACAGACTCAAGTTACCTCACAAATGGCTACCTTGATAAGACTATTGATTGGATACCAAGTTTGAAGGGAATAAGATTAAAAGACATGCCGAGCTCTATTAGGACCACAGACCCAAATGATAAGATGATGAATTATATGATTTCAAGTGAGCATAAAGCTCTCAACTCACAAGCTATCATCATCAACACATTTGATGCTTTAGAGCAAGATGTTCTAAAGGATCTCTCGTCCATTTCACCAAATATCTACCCAATTGGGCCACTAAATTTATTAGTGGACCATATAGTACCAAAAGATGAAAACAATAGGCCCATTGGGCCTAGCCCTAAGGAAGATGTTGACTACATCCAATGGCTTGACTCCAATGAGCCCAATTCAGTTTTGTATGTAAATTTTGGGACACTTGTAGTTTTGACCCAAGAAAAACTTATTGAATTTGCATGGGGCCTTGCAAATAGTCATCATAATTTCTTTTGGGTTGTAAAATCCGATTTAGTTTTTGGTGGGTCAAATAATAATAATAATAATCATTTTCTTATTGAATTTGAGGAAGAGATCAAGGAAAGAGGCCTATTGACAAGTTGGTGTGACCAAGAGAAAGTGTTAGGTCATCCTTCTATAGGAGGGTTCGTGACACATTGTGGATGGAATTCGATGATTGAGAGCATAAGCAATGGGGTTCCAATGATTTGTTGCCCATTTTTCGCCGAGCAAGGTACTAATAGTTGGTATTGTTGTACTCATCTAGGCATCGGTGTGAGTATGAGTGAAGCCGCGAAAAGAGATGATGTTGAGAGGGTTGTGAAAGAGTTGATGGAGGAAGAAAATGGCAAGGAGATGATGAAAAAGAAAGCCATGGAGTGGAGGCAGTTGGCAAAAGAAGCAACCATGAGTCCACATGGATCTTCATATGTTAATTTAGAGAACGTAGTCAATGACATACTTCTTTCAAATTAAATCATATTAATTAAGCAAGAAGTGTTTAGCATTTTCCTCATCATAAAAGGAGTAAATCGTGTGGTATTTACTTTACTAGAACGCATGTATTAAATACTTTATAACGATCGATGCTATCGTGTAATATAAAAATATGGGGTTGGTAATTGGTATTACTCTTCAGCCCTTTATTATAATAAAATATGCTTTATTTAGGCTTTGTTCATTTCACCTTAAAAAATAATATTCAGCAAAAATAATTTAAGATCATTAAAAATAATTTTTAGTTTAGTAAAAATAAGTTCATTTCAATAAAAATAAGTTCATTTTAGTAAAAATCAGTACCTTTAAGAAGAAAATAAATATAATAGAGAATCAGTAAAAATTAATTTTAGTTGAGTAAAAATAATTTAAGTTCAGTATAAATAATTTCAGTTCAGCAAAAATAAGGTAAAGTAAACGGGGCCTTATTCTCGTACAGTTGTAACAATAGTGCAAAATATATACGTCGATAAACAGTCTCATAATTATATTGACTTTTGACATTTTTCCTATACTAACTTTGAACACATTTTATTACTAATAACTACTCTGATCCGTAGCTTTTAGGCTCGGGCAACATCTTGAGATACCGCATAAATTCTATAATCCAAATCCTTATACTTCCTCCGTTCTTTTTTACTTGACCACTTTGACTTTTATACTATTCACCACTCCTCCTTTAACCGTCTTTTGTGAATAATTTGTAAGGAAAAACATGCATGTTCATGTTGGATATTTTTTAATTCATCTCAAGAAGTAATATCAAAATATATAACTTTTATAATTTTTACTTATAAAGAATTAAAGTTATTAATCGTTGAAGTTTTGCATTAACAAGCGTGATAAAAGAAACATGTCAAGTAAAAAAGAACAGATGAAGTATGTTGAAAGAGTAAGAACAAAGAAGTAATGTATGACAATAATTTAGAAGTTGGTTAAAACTTTATTTTTTTATTAAATTTAAGGTTGTGGATTCAAATCTTAACTTGTGTAATTCACATATTATAACACACAAAATGAAAAACTAAATAAATTAAGGAAAAGCGTCACGTGACACTTAAGCTTGTCACTACGTAAAAAAATAAAATTGGCACCGGTTCAAACCCGGCCTAAGGCACCGGTTTGAACCGGTGTCAATGTGGGGGGGTGCCAAAAGTGGTTTAATAAGGCACCGGTTCAAACCGGTGCCAAAACTCGGCAATGGCACCGGTTAACAGGTGCCAAAAATGGTCAACAAAATTTTTTTGTTGTTTTTGGCACCGGTTAACCGGTGCCAAAAATGCCCAAATATATATATATATATATATTTTGTTTTTTCCATCTAAAAATTAAATAGCCTAAAATAAATAACAACATCAAAACATAAAGCCAATATCAATCATCATCAAAATTTGCAATATATGATCAAAAAAATATTACAACATATAAAAACTTCGATTACAGCATATAAATAAAAAAAATTACAATATAAATTTTTTAAAAAAATTACAATATAAATCAAAAAAAAAAAAACTCATTCATTCTTGTATCTTGCTTCTTCGATTTCAGATCTAGAATTCATACCTGCACCAATTAAAACAAAAAAAATCGATTAATATAATTAAACTTCGACCAGAAAAAAAAAAACTTGAAATCGAAAAAAAACCCAGAAAAAAAAAACTTGAACTCGAAAAAAAAACATGAAATCGAAAAAAAAGGCAGAAAAAAAAAACTTGAACTCGAAAAAAAACCCAGAAAAAAAAAACTTGAACTCGAAAAAAAACCCAGAAAAAAAACTTGAAATCGAAAAAAACCCAGGAAAAAAAAAATTAAACCCAGAAAACGAAAAAAAATTTGAAATCGAAAAAAAAGCCAGAAAAAAAAAAAACTTGAACTCGAAAAAAAAGCCAGAAAAAAAAACTTGAACTCGAAAAAAAACCTAGAAAAAAAAAAATTAAACCCAGAAATCGAAAAAAAATTTGAAATCCATTTAAATCCAGTATTCGAATAAACCCAAAAATTGAAAAAAAAATTTAAATCGAAAAAACCTTGAAAAAAAAATTAGAAATCGAAAAAATCCAGAAAACAAAAAAAATTGAAATCGAAAAAAATTCCATTAAAATCTGAAAAAAAAATCAAAATCGAAATTGATTAAAATTTTGATTAAAATAAAAAAAAATAGATTAAAAAAATTCGATTCTAATTAAATCGATTAAAATTTAAAAAAAAAATCCAAAAATTCGATTGAAATCAAAACAATAACCCAGAAATTCGATTGAAATCGATCAAAACAATAACCCAGAAAAAAAAAGAATTTAAACCGATTACAATTTTTAAAAAATTGATAAAAAAAATCAATTAAAACAAAAACCCAGAAAATTAAAACAAAACCCATAAATTCGATTGGCATCGGTCTTGCATGTTGTATTCAAAAACCCATATAGCTTTAGAAGGAGAAGATCTTTTGTGTAAGACAAAGAAGATCTTTCGTACAAGTCAAATTTACAGAGAATTAGAAGGAGAAGAAGGAGATCGAGAAAGATAAATGGAAAGAGAAGGAGGAGAAGGAGATCGAGAAGGGAGAAAGAGGAGGAGAGGAGAGGAGAGGAGAGAGAAAGAGGATGAGAGGAGAGAGAAGGGTACTGATGAGAGGAGAGGAGTATTAGGGTTGGGGGGGATTTAAAGAGTGGGTTCGGTTTTTTTTTTCAAAAAAAAATTTTAATGACTCCGGTTCAAAAAGGCACCGGTTCAAACCGGTGGCCTTTATGTATTTGGCACCGGTTTGAAGTGAACTGGTGCCTTATGTCTTGGTTCATTAACCCGCGCTTTTTTTGGCCTATTTTTGGCACCGGTTTGGCCTGAACCGGTGCCATTTGGGGGTTGCCTTTTTGTATTTTTCTACTAGTGTGTTTAGAAACATTTTTTAATAGGTAGTATAAATTTATAATAAATATTATTATTCTGATTGTTGTTGAGCTAATCTCATTTTTTATTTTCAAAAATATTTTGTTTGGTAATTATGTTAAAGCATAATTTAAGATATATTAATGTTCAAAATAATGCATTACTAAACGTGTCTAGTCGAGATCATACAGAATAAATTAATAAATACGAGTACAATCTATTAAGATATATATGGAGAAAGTACGTATGATTGGAGTTACATCATCTAGTTCACATACCGAGGACTTGAGGAGAATGATAGATCTAAATCACATATTCACATGTAAACAATATTACTTACAATGTTGATTTATACAAAATATACTTTGTATATCAAAAACTTTTCTAATTAAAAAATGTATGTCTTGCGTATAATTTTTTTTTTAATTATTTTTAATAATATGGTACGTATAATATAAAATGAAGAATTAAATCATAATCAAACGGTCAAGCATGTGAAACAGATTGCTTATTTATATTCGTTAATTATTTGCATGCAAGACAAATTTGATTTTTCATGAATTCACAAGTTTTATTTTATATTGTAAAATTAACTACTACGTACATTCATGAATCATGACAGGCTGATGTTTTTGTAATAGTCAACTTAATCTGAATAATATACTTCCTCCGTTTCTATTTAGTTGACGCGTTTAATTTAGACATGTATATTAAGGAGATGAGAAAGAGTGAGAGAGAATGAAAAAGCAAGTGAGGTACCTTGTAAATGCAAGGTAAAAAATTTACCTTAAAAGGAAACATGTCAATTAAAAAAACTTCCTAAAAAGGAATACGTGTCATTAAACGGAGATAGTATGAAACAATAATTATTGCTCTAAATGAATGCAATGGAGTAGTTCAGATCTACTATCAAGATTCAAGAATGATCTTTATATCTCGCTTCACTTCTTTCTCTCCTTAAATTGCAAACTCCGCTACAAAAATAGTCAAAGATATCATATTGTTCATATATTTTATTGTCTATAGTCTAGTAAATTTTTACTAAAAATGGAAAATCATGTTGTTTGTGTACCATTTCCTGCACAAGGTCACATAAGGCCTATGCTAAAACTTACTCAACTCCTCCATTTTAAATTCGAGTTTAGCATAACTTTCATAAACACGCACCACATCCACCAAACCTTGTTTAAAAATCACCATCGTTCACCAGAAGACGATGATCCAAAAGATATTCTTTCTGCCATCAACTCTATTGTCACTAATAAATTGGAGCTCCCGCTTAAGGAGCTCCTTGTGACAAAACTACTAGACAATTATAATAGTAATAGTGATTGTTTGCAACCGCGAGTTAGTTGTATGATTAGCGATGTTGGTATGTCTTCTTTCACACTTAGAGTGGCTGAAGAATTGGGGATTCGTGCTGTGCTACTTGAGACTGCTAGTGCTTGTAGCCTTTTGGCTTATTTCCATTGTCGCCAACTTCTTGACAAGGGTATCATACCCCTTCAAGGTAATATACTTTCGTTTTGAATTTTTATCACCTTGAATTTATTTGCTTTATGTTTTACTTACTAATATGCATTATTTTTTTATTCTAATAATGGTCTAAGTTTATATATTATTTAGTGATGCAATTTATACATGTTCGAACAATATAAATTATGTTTAGAATTTGATACATGCTAGAGTGTTAATTTTGGGCTGAGACTACAAATACAAGTTAAATTAGTTATGATAATAAAATAAAAAAGAAATATAAATTATAGACACCATGCCACCACATGTAGTTATAGACTTATAGTAATTACTACCTCCGTTACGTATTATTTGCAACGATTTGACATAAAGTAGAGAAAAAAAAATGTCTAATCGTTACAAATAATATGTAACGGAGGTAGTATATATAATAGATCGGCATTATCGCACCGAAAAACAAAATCACCAACAAGGCAACAAGGTAACAGCCATTTGTATATGTCATGTGGTACAACACCCTTTCTTTCAAGTTTCAACCAATCAAAATTGCACATTAATTTTATTTTGGGTTTTTCTACATGGTACCCTTGAGTTTTTGAGTTTTCTACCTTATACCCTCCTAAATTCAAATTTTTACAAGGTGACCTTGAGTTATTAGTTTATTTTACATTATATCCTTGAGTTTTTGAATTTTTCTATATGGTACCCTTGAGTTTTTGAATTTTTCTATATGGTACCCTTGATTAGTAAAATAAACGACTCTAAATTAATTTGACTCAAACCAACAGCATCTAAACGACTTATTTATTAGCACCCTCAAAGACACAACTAGCATGTTTAATGCGAAAAAAAGGACTAACAACTTGAGTCCCCTCTAAAACAAGGTCTTTTAGTTAAGTAGGACTGTAGGAGCAAAAAAAAAGTTCTTATCTTCCATCTCAAACAATCATACAAAAGTTCCACTAAATAGCGAATAATGAAGATTAATGATTCCTCTATCTAATATAAATATAGAAGTGGTAAATAGATCATATTTAGATGGTGTCGGTTTGAGTCAAATTAAGTTAGAGTCATTTATTTTACAACTCAAGGGTACCACGTTGAAAAAACCCAAAAACTCAAGGACACTTTGTAGAACTTTGGATTTAGAAGGGTACAATGTAGAAAACTCAATAACTTAGGGGTACCATATAGAAAATCCCTTTTATTTTTTACAACAAATTTCAACATACTCATTCACTCAAACTCCTTAAAATTGTATTGGGGTATAGTAATACTCCATGTACATCTTTCGAACGAACAAAACATTCAGGGTCTATTCACTTCAACTTAATTTCATTTCACTTTAGTTCAATTCAATTTAGCTTCAATCAGTTCAGTTCTATTCAGTTCAGCTCCAATCAATTTAGTTCAGTACAGTTTCAATCAATTTAGTTCAGTACAACTCCTAATTTCTTACTCTCTTAAAATATTCATTTTAGCTCAATTCAGTTCAATTAAGTTCAGTTCAGTAAATGTGAATAGGCCCTTAATTTCTGTAAGGCCTAATTAGTCTAATATATGTCGCATTTTACCACCAAAATACTACAAGTATATATATATGCCGCTACTTTATGATAGAGTGATAATAAGAAATAAGTGACAAATTTGTGTTCAAGTCCAAAATTATGATTTCCAACAAGTTGATATTCTTTATTTTGTCCTAAACATTAAAGTTTTGCTGTTTATTTTTCAGACCAAAGTTGCCTCACAAATGGTTATCTTGAAAAGTCAATAGATTGGATATCAAGTTTGAAGAGAATATCCTTAAAAGACATGCCAAGTTTTATTAGAACATTGAATCCAAATGATATGAATCATATGATGCTCAATATTGTTATGTCAAATGCACATAGAGCTCTCAAGTCTGAAGCCATCCTCATCAACACATTTGATGCCTTGGAACAACATGCCCTAGAAGATCTCTCCACCATTTTTCCTAACATTCATCCAATTGGACCCCTTAATTTGATGGTGGATCATCATATATCAAAAAAGGATACCATTAATAGTGGACCCCTTATGAATAGTAATGAGTATATGAAATGGCTTGATTCTCAAGAGCCTAAATCTGTTCTCTATGTAAGTTTTGGCTCCCTTGTTGGAGTCGATCAAGAGACGTTTATTGAACTTGCTTGGGGGCTTGCAAATAGCCTTACAAAGTTTTTATGGATTGTGAGATCTGATCAAGTCATTGAAAAGAGTTGTACTATTGAATTCAATCGATTTAAGGAAGAGATAAATGGTAGGGGTGTGCTAGTCACTTGGTGTGACCAAGAGCAAGTATTGGCGCATCCTTCGATTGGAGGGTTCTTTACACATTGTGGTTGGAATTCAACAATTGAGAGCATAAGTTATGGGGTGCCAATGATTTGTTGGCCATCGGCCGCAGACCAATTGATTAATTCTTGGTATTGTTGTAATTGTCTTGGCATTGGTATGAAGATGAGTGAACATGTTAAAAGAGATTATGTTGAGAGGGTGGTGAAAGAGTTGATGGAAACAAAAAATGGTAAAGAGATGGGGACAAAGGCTGCAAAGTGGAGAAACATTGCAATAGAAGCAACCATGAGTTCACATGGATCTTCATATGATAATTTAAAGAAAGTAGTTAATAATGTAATAAAAGTACATCAATAAGTCAATATTAATCTCATATGTTGTTGATCATGAGACGATTAATATAATTACGTTATAGTCATAGTAAGAAGTCTTGTAATGTGTTGACTTTTATTTTTTTAATTAAGGAAACTTTAACGGACATTTTTTGGTAAACAAATCAGAGAAAAATATGGAATTGAGTGCCAATTAACATTTGCAATATTTTTTAATGGTTGCAATTGGCAAAATATGTAATTTCAATTACTGTAATTGGCAAAATATATGTTTTTTTTGGAGGAAATATTACCTTCGTTTCTTTTTAGTTGACACATATTTCTTTTTAGGAAGTTTTTTTAGTTAACATTTTTCCTTTTAGGGTAACTTTTTACTTTGCATTTACAAGTTACTCCACTTGCTTTTTCACTCACTCTCTTCTCTTTAATATATGTGTCTATTTCAAACACGTCAACTAAATAAAAACGGAGGAAGTATTAAATTATTCCATAAATGGTTGACTTGAATTTGAAGTCCAGGATGAATGTGATGACAAAAACGACGTCGTATATTGATTCAATCAGATGATAGCATTTTTGCATACCATCTATCAGAGAAATTATACAAATCGAAAACCCTAATCTGCGGCTCTGCGCTCCAAATCTCATCAGACATCTTCATCTTCTCTCTTTCGTTGAGGTAATCTTCATTTTTTCTTGCAAAGTTGCAAACTTGCAGTTATATACTTGTACGATTATTGCCTTTATGTCAATTAATTACGAATTTGAAGTCTATTTATTATTATTATTATTATTATTATTATTTTTTTTTAAAAAAAATATGTAAGATTTAGTTCGTAAATTATTGGGAAATTTTATCAATAGAAATTTTTGGAGATTACATTGAGCTTAATTTTATTTGGGAAATGGATGAATTTTTATGACATACAAGTTCTTCGTATCATCTAAGTATTCTCCTATGATGAGTAAATTGGAAAAATGAGATTTTTAGAGGAGATAGAATAAGCTAAGTGTCAATTGGGATTTTTGGATTTGGGGTTTAAACTGAAATGTGAGTGATGCTATGAGTTTGTTGTCAAACTATAAGGTATGTAGAATTTATGATGAATTGTTGAGTATAGAAGGAGAAATGAGGGTTCCAAATGAACTGAAAGTGAAAGGATTGGGCTTTCTTGTTGTTGGGATTTAGAGATTTCAGGATTTCGTGCTGTTCTAATTGAGGGATGTCGGGTTTTCGTGTTGTGCTGATTGAGGGATGTCGGGCGTTTGTGCTGTGCTATCTGAGGGATGTTGGGCTTTTGTGCTCAGCTAACTGAGGATTTTGTGGCATTAGGTCTTTAGGATATTTCAGGGATGTCGGGGTTTTGTGCTGTGTGGTAATTGAGGGATGACGGGCATTTGTGATTTGTGGCATTTATGATGTGCTATTTCAGGGATGTCAGGGTTCTGTGCAGTGGTAATTGAGGGATGTATTGCATCCGTGCTATGGTAATTGAGGGATGTATTGCATCTGTGCTATTGCAATTGAGGAATGTATGGCTTTCATACCGTGCTATATGAATGAAGTCGAGTTTTGTGCTGTGCTATTTGGGGGTTCGGTTGAATAAGGATTATGGAAGTGGAGGCAAGCTTTAGTGGAATAGGGAGGGTAGAGCGATTAGTGATGCGTTGGGTGATGTTGGGTCAATGTGTGCAACCTTGTATTGTGCCATAAGGACTTTGATTTTCTTTGGTAGTTTTATGTATCTTCTGTTTGCCATCCAACTCATTTGTGATTTATGTTTTTGTTATAAAAAATGCAGTGTTAGTTTGTGTATTTATGTTCTAATTATTTTTTTTTTTTTTATGGATCCTCTTGGTTTAGAAAACCATGAAAAGACCATGGAGTGATAAAGAAGATGAATCGTCAGATGACGAATCATCATCTAGTGATACTGAATCAGAGGATGAGGATGAGCCTGGAAAGCCAAAGTCATCGCGAAAACCTTCTGGAGGTACTCGAAGTTTTTATTGTTTTCAATTCTTTTTTGTTTATCGGTGTGAAATAATATTCGTCAAAAAAATGGGGAAAGAGTTCTTTTTCCTCACATGGATAGTGTCTTTGAGGCGGCTGGAAAAATTCTTTCATGGTATGTAAAGGAAATCGATCATCTGGGTTTTTACTGAATTCAAGTGAACTTCCTAGAATACAACCCTAAATTATGGTCTTAAATTCAATTATTATGTGTATATTACGCCATCAAAGTTTTAAAATGTAGTGGCATTAGGAATTTAGGGTCAGTGTGAGGCAGAGAAATGTATAAAATTATGAGGATTTGTGCTGATTATGGATATGGGAAACCTCAAATGATTTAGGGCAGTTCATATCCTTGTGTCTGAGCTCTACAAGAAAATATTTCTCTAGAATTTACTTATTATATATCATAGTTTTGCTCTTATATGCAGTAAAATCTGCAAAACGAAAAAGCGGCGGAATTGATTTTGAAGCTTTGAGCCGCCATGGTTATAAAGGAGGCCTATCTATTCTGAAAGTGCCTCCACCGAAGGAGGATCCAAATCGAGACTGGACTTGGTCTACTGGCAAGGATAGGAAAAAAGATCAGGAGAGTGAGGAATCATACAAAGAGCGTCAGAAAACAAGAGCTGCTTTAGCAGATGGAGAAGAGCTTGCAACTGCTATAACTCAGAAAGAGAAGAAGACTTTTGCCCAGAAAGAAAAGAGAAAGAGAGACCTCGGCCAGACTAGTAGAGGAAAGAATTATGTTGAAGAAGAAAAGAGAATGTTAAGGGATAGCGGTGTATATTCTGGATTTGATTGTTGAAGCATGCAGATATTTAAATTCGAAAATCTTAACTCCAAGTAGGTTGCTCTGTTTGTGCATTTCGTACGTAGACAGATCCATGTTCTGGTGTACTATATTGTAGGTTGAGGATGCATTTATCATAAAAATACTTGCATAACTTACAAATTTGCTTTGTTATTAAGCTATAACTAGTTATATGCAGGTGACTAAGCAGAGGTTTTCAGCTAATTAAGTGTGAAATGTGATTACATTTCTATTAGTTATACATTAAACTCTGCTATTTCTAGTTTATCAAATTCTATTTGCCTTTCGAGAGTTCAACTTCGCTATCCTTGTCTACTATAACTTTTGACCATGGAGAATGGGTACATAAATCCTCCCCTTGCTCATCAGAGTCTTTGACCTGCTCCAAAGGCTTATATGTGTATAACGATGCACATAGAACATAATATATGAGATTTATTACTTGTATGCCAGAGACAAGCAAGAAGTAGTACTCCAACCTTCCCTTGTTGATGTTCCTATCAGGAAGCCAATTGTGCTCTTTTCCTGTGTAACCATGAACCATCGAGACTACCATCGTCCCTAAGTAGTTTCCTACTGATGTCGTTAAGCAATAGAGTGCAACAGCGGTGCTTCTCATGCTCTCAGGTGCTTGATCGTACAGAAACTCAAGATGACCGACATTCATGAAAACTTCTGCTAATCCGTGGAGGCAATATTGCGGGACTAACCAAAAGACACTGATGGGAATAATAGCCATAGGACTGTCCAAAAGGTGGTAATGAGTAGCAACTGATTTCCTCTTCTTCTCAACCAGAGAGGCTACAAGAGTTGCGACTATGTTGATCACGTATCCTATCCCCATCCGCTGTAAACATGATATGCCTACAGGGTTTCCAGTGAATCTACGTACAAAAGGAACAAAAGCACGCTCATAGACAACGAGCCCAATGAGCATGGTCCCAATGCTAAATATTGAAAGACTAGCTGGAGGTATTTGAAATGAAGAAGAGAGGTGACGGTCCATTGTCCGAGCTTGTGTGAGCACAAAGCTGCCTTGATGAGATGATGCAGTCACGAGCAGGATTCCAGCTGCCCATATCGGTAACACCCGGATGATAGATTTCAGCTCTTCCACTCTATGGACTGTAGACAATCTCCATAAGTTTGGTGGTTTTGAATCTTTTGCCTCTCCTTCTGTTACTACTGCTGCCTTGTCGAGCCACCTACAGGTAAAGGACCAAAATTACTCTAAACTGTCAGTTTTCAACAAAGATGAAGCTTTGTTATGGCAATATATATGTACTTTACATACATATGCAATGCACCATTACAAATATACATAAAACTTCGTAAATATTCTGATAGACATAAGTTCAGATTGTCTGTAAAATTGCAATATTATTGGCGGTACATTTGATGTGTGTTAGTAAAATACCGAGATTTGTAGTGATTTATATACTTTCTAAGCTAGTATTGTACTTTATATGACTCTAGAGTGACTCAGGTCAACAAAATAATGCTGGTATTTGTATAATAAACTTACGTGAACTGTTCAGAGTGCAGAAGTCTTCCATCAGTAGAGATAAGAGCATCAAGTTCCTTGTTTTGGTACAGCAAACTGCGGTCAGCTGGCAACGGAGCATTCCTCTTCTTCCAAGCAGCAACAGCCACTTGAAACATTCTAACCAAAGGGCTTCCTGCAGGCTTATGTTTGAGGTAAAGCGGATATCCGATCACAAAGGCTATAACCGATATTGTCATAGCCATTGTTGGGATTCCGAGCCCCCAACCCCAGCCCACATTGTCTTGGATATAGACTATAACAGTCAGTGCAGTTAGTGTTGCGAGTCCCATGAAGAAGTAATACCAGTTGAAGTAGTTCCACTTGCGCCCTGCAACACCGGACTTGCTCATGTCAAACTGGTTGGCTGCGAATGTCACCACGCAAGGCCGGATGCCACCCGTCCCTATAGTTGTTAGGAGGAGAGCCATGTATAATACCCAAAGTTGTTGTGTTGATGCTTCTTGGCAGTTCACTTGTGTAGGGCACGGCGGAGGGTGGAGTTTCGGGAGAATGGCTGTCATGGTAACACTGAACATCCCCTGCAACCATTGAAGACATTAGAAATTGTACAATGTGTACACAATTCAAAGGGCTAAAACAAATTTCTACATAAAACATGAACTTTATTATGCCATCATAACTAGTAAGTCTTCTTATTTTCTAGTGCATTTTAAAAGATTTGTCATTACAAATTCTTAGATAGGTGTGAAAATGTCACACTATAATTTATGCGCCTTGTTAAGACATAAGGAATCTATGTCAAAAAGGTGGAAACTACATATGCATGTCCTTGAGATTCGATTATAAATCCACTCTCAGAGATAAGTGTATCACCTCTCGACTCAGTTATATTGATACCATCATGTATCTTATAATAAATAAACGACAATAAAATAAAAGGAGATTGAAGAGCGAGTAAAATACTATCCTGTATCTATGTGCCTTGTTAAATATTAGAGATATGTGTCAAAAAGGCGGAAACTACTTATGATTGTCCTTTTAGAGTCGACTATAAATCCACTCTTAGAGATATGTGTATCACTTCTAGACTCAATTTATAGATATAATTCGTATCTAATAAATAAACGACAATAAAATAAAAGGATGAGATCGAAGAGCGAGTAAAATACCAATTGATAGAAGATAGAACCAATGGTAATAGTCCAAAATTGGCCAGCAAAAGAGTCGGCAATCAAAGCACCAATAAGAGGAGTAAAACTAGCAGTCCCCCCAAAATTGGTGAGTGTATTGGAGGCTTGTACAAGAGGCATGTTGAGTTGTTGGGTCAAGTATGTTATCATATTTGCATGAAATCCAACTCCAGCAAATCTGTCGCATATTTCATTTGCTGCAAAATTACAAATAACTCAACTGTTAGCATTTATGAATCAATAATGCTACTAGTACTAGCTTTTGTCACTAATTGAATTAGCCACATAGCTATAATTTAAGACTCGTGTTAATGTGCACGTGAAACTAGTTTGAATGTTCTGTGCAAGATTTTAAAATAGTGAGAAAGTTGAAGAATTTAAGTTGAAACATAGAAAATATAAACAACTAATAAATTATCCGCGGTATTAAATTAATATTAAAAAAAAAAAAAAAAATCTTGCCTACATTTCTTTCAAGGCCTTTTAGATTAGCAAGTTAAACTAAAATTATGGTAAGAACAATTATTAAAATCCAACTCAAGACTACAAAATTCCACACATAGCAAAAGATCAATGATTGTTAACTTATAAACAGAATTCAAAGTGTTTTTTTTTTTAATCAGAATTCAAAGGGTTCATTTGCTAATGTAACTTCCATTCAGAATTAATAGTCATGTTGATAAAGGAAGTAACTCGTAATGTGAAATTGTGAAGAAACTCACCGAGAATGAAAGGCAATGTTCGAATCCCACCACGCATCTTCTTCTTAGGACTATCTTCAATATTTTCTTCAACATATCCTACATCTAATTTCTTCTCCAAATCCATTATTGTAGATTTAAAATTTTAATGAATGAAGTTAAGAGTTATTGTGAGTTCTAGAAGAAGTTTAATGAAGGGTGGTATTTATAAGCCAACAACAAAGGCTAGAATCAGTGAACGTGCATGGTGCCTAAGTGTGAAGTGAGACCCACCATTATTGTGATAGATATTATTCACTACCTTATCCCTCGATTTTATTACTGCGTTGCATTATTATTCTAGCTTTCTTATGGTCTAGTGATGATGGATATACTAGTATATTTTCTTATAAACTTCATTGGATCTTCACCAACTACCAATTCATTGTTAATTTACGAATTACCTGTCACATTGTCTTAATACTCATAATATAATCACTCACGGTTAAAGATGTTGCAACTTTTATCTAAAGATTATTCCTAATAATATATTCATCATGATCATCAATTTTCAATTTCCCACTCTCCAATTCTCTATGTTAGTAGGAAAAAATGATTTTGGAAATTTGACATAAAACATTATAGGCATTATATTGCTTCTTTAATTTCCTATTTTATGTTGTAACTTTTGCACTATTGATGCACTATTTTTTTTTATTCTTTTTTTAAAGAAAAAGCATTGTTATGTGGGATCTTGTTATATTATTTATAATACGATATATACTTTTAATTTGCTTCGGCTTGCATTGCAAATTAATTAAAAACAAAATTAAAGTATTTATTGTGAGAAAAGCATGTAACAAAATATCAACACCAACATTGTACTTTTGCACCTAAAAATTAGATCATATTTGACTTTTGTGGCGAAATATTATCAAAGGTCAGTTTAGTTTCAATCAATATCAAAATTTATTAGACCTAAAACTTAATTTTTTTAAGGTAAAGAGAACATAGTTGGAGGCTTGGAGCAAATACATATTATAATCTGATGAAGATGTGTGATAAAAACAATGCAGTACCGAAAATTCTAGAGATTTTGTTTTAAAATAAATGTTGTGCCCTTAATTTTATGAATTAAATAAACTCTACATATCTAATAATTTTTGGGCGACACACAATTTGGATAAACTAAAAAAAACAATTTAATCTCATTGCTGAAAAAAAAACTACCTGTTCTCTTCAGCTTAATTTCACTGAAGGAAATTAATTCTGTGAATATTCCATTAATTTGTCAGCCAATATATACAATTGAGTAGCCTTATCTCAAGGCACTAATTATGCTACAAATAAGGGAATAGCTAATTACAAAATATACTTAAGCTATAAACAAGGTAACTAAAATATTTACATTGACTAAAGATATATTTTGAATATATCTTAACACACCCCCATAGTCTAAGCCGGAGGAGGACGAATGCTTAGACTATCTTTAAAGTCTTCAAAAAGAACACGAGGGAGGCCCTTTGTAAAAATAACCGCAATTTGGTGCCTAGAAGGAACATGATGAACCCGAACTTCACCCCGGGCTACCTTTTCTCGAACAAATAAAATATCCATCTCTATGTGCTTTGTTCGTTGATGTTGCACCGGATTGCCGGAAAGATGAATATCACTCACATTGTCACAATAAACCAAAGTCGCCTTCTTAATCGGACAATGTAATTCCAAAAGCAGGTTTCGAAGCCAACATGACTCAGAAACAACATTAGCAACGCCCCTGTATTCTGCCTCGGCACTAGACTTAGATAGAGTAGCCTGTCGTTTCGAGGACCAAGAAATCAAATTGTCACCCAAATATACACAATATCCAGATGTGGAGCATCTAGTATCTGGACACCCGGCCCAATCTGCATCTGTATATGAAACAAGAGAGGAAATAGATGACGGATACAGATGCAAACCATGATCAATCGTGCCTTGGACATACCGAATGACCCGTTTGAGAGCAGCCATATGCGTCTCTTTCGGATCATGCATATGTAAGCAAACCTGTTGGACCGCATATGAGATATTCGGTCTAGTAAATGTGAGGTATTGCAAGGCCCCTGCAAGACTACGATACAATGTAGGATCGGCACAAGGTGAACCTGTAGAACTGTCCTTCGGTTTTACCTCAACAGGTGTAGCCGAAGGTTTACACGAAGCCATCCCTGCTCTCTCAATAATTTCCTCCGCATATTTGCGTTGTGACAAAAATAATCCACCCTTATGTCTTGTCACTGCTATGCCAAGAAAATAATTAAGATGACCCAAGTCCTTCATAGCAAACTCCGAGCTAAGAAGGGACATAATAGAACGCCGCAGAGTGTCAGAAGAAGCAGTAAGAATAATGTCATCAACATATAAAAGTAAATAAGCCACATTTTTCCCTTGACGATAAATAAACAGGGAATTGTCACTTTTACTATTAGTGAAACCAATAGTAGCAACAAAATCTGCAAATCTCTTATACCACGCCCGGGGTGCCTGCTTAAGACCATATAAAGAGCCCCGAAATAAACACACATAATCAGGGTGAGTTTTATCACGGTACCCAAGGGGTTGATGCATATACACTGTCTCCTGAAGCTCACCATGTAAGAAAGTGTTCTTAACATCAAGCTGATGTATGGACCAAGCCTTAGACAAAGCAAGGCTAAGAACAGTACGGATAGTCGCCGGTTTTACAACCGGACTAAAAGTCTCCCCACAATCGATGCCAACCTGTTGTGTTTTGCCATCACCTACAAGACGGGCTTTATGCCTCTCAAAAGAACCGTCAGATTTCACTTTATGAGTAAAAATCCACATAGAGCGAATAACATTAACATCAGGTGGACGGGGCACCAACTCCCACGTCTTATTATTAATAAGAGCATTATACTCATCATCCATGGCCAATTTCCAATTCGGGTCATTAAGAGCAGAAACGGGGTTACGAGGCAAAGGGGATATCGTAACACTAGATGTCATAGCACTAAAATTTTTATATTTTGGATTTGGCTTGACTATACCGTTTCTACTACGAGTAACAATCCTAGGAGGAGGTGGCGGAGGAATAGGGGTTGAGGGAGGTGGAGCCGTGGCAAGAAGAGTAGAAGTAGCATTCGGAATTTCCGGTTGGGTAGGACCACATTGGGCCGTGGCTAATTGAACAGGCCCACGGTCCAGCGTGGCCCTATTATGCCCACCAGAATTCGGCATGCTAAGAGAAGGGGAAGAAGATGGATTTGAGCTGCTGGACCGAACTGGGCCAGAAGGTGGAGTAAGGGGCCCAGTTCGTAAGGAGCTAGGAGAAGAAGAAATGGGCTGGTCCGTGGACTTAGCTGATGTGCTTTGCAAATGATTGACAACATAAGAATTGAGACCATCATCCAAGAAATCATACGCATGGGAAGTGGGTTTATGCAAATCCTTAAAAGGAAAAATACTCTCATCAAAAATGACATGGCGACTAATAATAATTTTATTAGACGATAAATCAAAGCATTTGTAACCCCTATAATTTGGTGGATATCCCAAAAACACACACGGTGTGGACCGAGATTGAAGCTTATTAATGGTAGTGGAAGGAATCAAGGGATAACACAAACACCCAAAAACACGTAAGTGAGAGTAAGAGGGTTCCTTTTGGTATAAGATTTGGAGAGGGGACTTATATTCTAGCAATTTACTTGGGAGAATATTATGAAGATATGTTGCCATTTGCAAAGCATGGTGCCAAAACGACGGAGGTAAGGAAGCATGAGAAAGAAGAGTTCGTATGATATTATTTAATGATCTTATTTTTCTCTCGGCCTTTCCATTTTGTGATGATGTATGGGGACATGAAAGACGGAATGACATGCCATTAGACTCACATAAAGCCCAAAAAGGACCGTTATCAAATTCCCTCCCATTATCACATTGAAAAGTTTTAATTGGTCGTTCAAATTGAGTACAAATGAATGCTTGGAAGGCTAATATTTTATTTAACACATCCGACTTTTTAGCTAGGGGAAAAGTCCACAAAAATTTTGAATAATCATCCAACACAAGCATATAATAACGATGACCCAACGAACTCAAAACAGGAGAGGTCCACAAATCACTATGAATAATATCAAACGGCATAGAAGTACTAGAATTCGATGACACAAAAGGCAATTTAACGTGTTTTCCAAGTACACAAGAATTGCAAACAGTAGTACTAGAATTATGAGTACATTCAATGCTTTTATTACTACAAAGCGTCCTTAAAATAGACGATCCCGGGTGTCCCAAACTATCATGCCATAAAGGGGAAGCTAAAGCTGTAAAAGTCGATGGAGTTGAGTTTTTGAATGTGGTAGTAAGAGGATAAAGGTCTCCTTGGCTATCACATCTCATTATTGGCATCCCCGTCCGATAATCCTTCACAGAAAAATCATAAGGGTCAAACTCAACGGTCACACAATTATCAGTCGTAAACTTCCTAACAGAAATTAAATTTTTTAATTATCTTAGGAGCATGAAGAACATTAGTAAGGGACAAAGGCGGGTTTGGGGAAGGCAATGTAGTATGACCACAACCATGAATTGGAATTGTATGACCACTACCAACAATAATACCATTATAATGATTGCTCAAATTAAAATAAGACGAGAGATTACCGTTGGAGGATGTCATGTGCGAAGTTGCACCGGTGTCCATGTACCAAGAGGGATCGGGTTGGCTCAACGTCATAGTGTGCATTGCCGATTCAATATCCGTCGGGGCATAAGGCATGGACTGCTGTTGCGGATTAGCCATGTACACTTGTTGTGGGCGTGGGCCTAAGACCCCTTGCTGCTGACGCATTGGGCCTTGCTGCTGCTTAGCCCAACCTTGGGTGGGATATGGGCAGGGAGGTGCAGCCCAAGGAGCCCAACCCCAAGGTTGGTATGGCTGATAGGCGTGCTGCCATGGTGGAGTTGCAGCCCAGGCCGGCTGCTGCTGTTGCGGACCACCACCGCGACTGGGCTGCTGTCCACCGGTGTTCTGACCACTACCCCCGCCGGTGCTGGAATTCCGGCCCCCACCAGATTTTTTCTGGTTTTTATTCTTGCCTCGAGACTGACCCGAATTAGCATCACGAGGTGCACTGACCACCATTGCCGAAGCCGACGCCGAAGCTGCCTTCTTTGCCAAGCCGGCTTCCTCCAATGTAAGCATTGAGCGGGCTTGGTAAAACTGAGGAAGAGGATTGCTTTGCCTTATCAAGGTTGCAACCCCATTGTACGGTTCCGTCAAACCGGAGACCAATTGAAGGACAAGGCGGTTGTTATCCCCGGTGCCCCAACATTCTTCAATTGATCGGAGAGACTCTTGAGTCGTTGACAATACGCCGAGACGTTAGGGAAATCCTCCATATCCGTGTTGGAGAATTCATGTTCAAGAGTCACGGCACGGGAATTTTGATTGTCTTAGAATATGTTACGGAGCCTATTCCAAGCCTCCATTGCCGTCGAATCACGTTCCATTGACATTGACTAAAGATATATTTTGAATATATCTTAACATTCACTTCAATTCAGTTATTAATTTCCTTTTCTCATAAATAGTTCAATTCAATTCAGCTCAATTCGGTAAATCAGAACAGACCCTTAATATATATAGTAGAAGAAATATGAAAAATGGAGAATTGAAGAAGAAAGATTGAACAATTATGAGGGTAAGATAAATGATAGAATTGTGGGAATTGGACTTTGAAAGTTTGGAGAGATTTTAGAACATGATTTTAGGTTGCTAATAATAGGAGAGTGAGTGTATGTTCAATATTTTAAGAAATCTTGCCAAAAAAAAAAAAAAAAAAATGAAGTAACAAATAAATCTCACAAGAGTTGAGAGTGAGAGGTAGCTCAGGTGATAATTAGAGCTTTCCACTTGATTTAGGGGATCTTGAGATTGATTCTCACAAGGACAATCGTACAAGACACATTCATAATACTTCTTCGTAACTGATTGCTAAAGTTAAATATGGTCTACAAATCGAGTATATTGTATATATAATTATATGCCAAAGGGGGTAAATAAGATTGTCTATTATAAGTATGGACCAGTCTAATAATATTGTATTACATTGGTCGTGATCTTTTTAGAAGAACCGGCCAATTAATTTTCTAGTATAAAAATGTATCCTTGTTTGTTCATGATCTACAAATTTATGATGAATATCACTTTACAGCTTCTAATATAAATTTAGTGTCAAAATTTTAATATTTTCCAATAAGAATTATGGTATAAGATGAGCAATTCTAAAATAATGTATTCGGATCTATGCAGATATAAAGCAGAAGAATCTTCAGAATATTGCAAAGGGAAAACGACAGTGTGATTTTGGTGAGGTGGATTTTAGATGAATGAGGACTATTGCTTTTTATTGAGAAAACAAAATTCACTTAGAATAACTTCTATCCTTTTAGTTGTGGACTAGTATTCATTTCACAATTTGTCAACTACATTTTGATGAAATCCACTTGAATATATATGCATATTCAATTCTATCCAATTCCTTTTTATTAAGACAGACGGGCTTGACCCGTGGTCTTAAGAATCAATAAAATAGTTCAGTCTCATATTTCAGTTATACTTTAGATAGGGTCGGTGTGATAAGACTTATAACAAGCTAATAGCTATAAAATTTGTGACGATGTATAACAATAGCGTGAATTGGCTAGGTGGAGTTTAGATTGATGAGGACTAGCGCTTTTTATTGTGGAAATAATATAGCCACTTAGGGCCTTCAGTTAATTTCAGTTCAGCTCAGCTCCAATCAGTTCAGTACAGCTCAGCTCAGTTCAGTTCAACTCAGCTTAGTTTCTAATTTCTTTCTCTTATAAAATATTCATTTCAGCTCAGTTCAGTTCAGCTCCAATCATTTCAGTTCATTTAGTTCAGCTCAATTCAGTAAATGTGAACAGTCCCTTAGAATAAAAATTGATCTCATAGTTATGGATAAGTAGTTACTCAACACTTTGTCAAATACGTGTATATTCTGATGAACTCCTAGTTGGATATGTATATTCATAATTCAATTCATTTTAATTATCAAGACACATAGGCTAAACCCTTTCAAACGAATGCATAATTAATTTCGGGGATCAACAAAACAGTTTAATCTCATATTTTAACAGTACTCCGTATATTGGATAGGTGCATTATAACAATTGGTGATGCAAAATTATTGAGTAACATGGTTGCGATGATATATTTCCGTGTGAATAAAAATTGTCATTTAAATCATTGGAGATGGGCAAAGTTAGGGTTTTCAGAAACCACTAAAGTGGGGAAAACTGTCTAAATATAACTCCCACTCAGTATTTGTGGCCTTTAGCTAGTAGTAGTGCCTACTAGTTACTATCTTTGAATCCTTTTTTAGGCATGATTTTATATCCAATAGTTGAATGACAGGTGCCAAATGATTGGACAAACGTTTGAAGAATTCAAATTCATCAAGAACACCTCTCTAATTCAATTCCCTCAATTATGGTAATCCAATCTTAATCTTCTAGTGTTATGTTATGTTTTTGTGTACGAGAAACATGTGGTCTCTCTTGGGAGGAGGAGATTTGGAGATCGATAATAATTACATTCGTAATTAGCTCATTAATAACATTTGTTTTTTAGATATGCGGTGGTGGTTGATAATAATTCAAGAGACTGTGTGAAGGACATAAGTTTAAGAGCAAAGGTAGTAGGATTTATAACAAGGTCGCTATCATTGTCTCTTCTATTTTTGAGAAAATTATCTTCGATTATTTTCTTTTCAAAAGTTCACTACACCTATTATATATAGCTTTTACTATTAATATTGTGTGACATCCTTAATTTTGATGTTTAAGATACACTAATATAGAAATTTGATATTAATCTATCTGCTTGGTAAGTATTGAAGACTTTGATGTACACTCTATTATTGCCTTAAGTCTTATGGATTACTCGTATGCATCTTTTAAGTCATGAAATCTTTGTGACTTCTAACCATATTCTATATTTGTCTAAAATTATTAATGAACAAGTAACTTTATAATTACTTAGTCAAGCCTCAATAAATTAAATACTCGGAGTTGGGTTATTAAAAATGAACATACTAGTATCATTTTTTTTTTGACGAATCTCAAATAACAAATATCATAGTGATTTTAAATCTTGAATATGTGTCTCCAAATTTTAATCAATTATGGAGCAAAAACACAAAAATAATGCGATTTATTATTATTAAAATCCTACAAAATGTTACGGAGTATTCTGTATTATTATATTAATTGGAAAAGGTAACCATTAGAAGAATGTTGCTTAATTCTTTTTTATTTAATCTAGACATAGCTTGATTGGAAAGTATGTTAAAAGGTAACCATTAGACTTAGCTTGATTGGAAAGTATGTTAAATACTGCCTCTAATCTGTATGCTTAGTAATCTTGTCCTTTACAATTTTATATATTAATAGAGTGTACCATTGTTAATTATAATATATCCAATTTGCAAAAAACATGACAAATTTTATGGCTACTAGATTTATAGGATAAGAAGATATTTTGTTTTCCTGATTTGGTTACACACGGGCTAAATATGTTGTTAATTTTGGAGGGGCACATAGTTTTTAGGAAAAATTGAAAACAATAATCCCACTTTTCGCCCATCTGCTCAAAATAATCCTACATTTTCGAATTCCAGAAATAATCCCACCTTAACACCCCATCTTCCCAAAATGAACCTTTTACCGGATTATGAAATTAGTAACCTGTTTTAGAAGGTGACTTGACACTTGTCATCTTTTAATTGGTCGTCCTAATTTTAAATAATTAAAAAAACAAAACAATTAAAAATAAAAAAAAATTCTCCCAACCCCACGACCTCCCCATCATCACCACCATCACAACCCCTGCCGCCACCCCTTTATCACCACCATCACCTCCATCACAACCCCTGCTGTCGTCCCTTACCACCATCACAACCCGAAACCCCGACCCGAAATCCCCACTTGAACTGGAAGAAATAGAAGTCGGCCGGCGTGTGGATCTACAGCAAAACAACCTCCTCCCCACCCAACCCACGAAAACCACCTCCACCCCCGATTTAGGCAGCAAATTCCGGCGCTAATTTTTTCAAATTGGAGGCGTTGATTTGTGGGATTATTTCGTGATTGTTGGCGTCGAACTCGAATCGGAGTTTCTGGGCCCGACAACGAATTACTTCACACACCAAGAGGAGGGAATCGGGGAAGGGGAAGTGGAAGGGGAAGGAATCGGGGAAGTGGAAGGGAGAAGGGGAGGGAATCGGAGAAGGGGAAGTGGAAGGGGAACGGAGAAGGGGAGGGTATTGGAGGAGGGGGGCTGGTCCGGCTGTTCAACCAGCTGGGGGTTGTGATGGTGGTGATGGTGGCGATGAATTGAAGGGGGTGGTCATGGGGCGGTGCCAATGGTGGGGTGGGCTGGGTTAGGGTGTTTGGGATTTTTTCTTTTTTTTTTTCTTTTTCCTTTGTTTAATTTATTAAAAAAAACAAAAACAAAAAATTTACCTGTTTAAACGGTTGTAAGTAAAAAGGTTCATTTTGAGCAGATGGGGTGTTAAGGTGGGATTATTTCTGGAGTCCGAAAAGGTGGGATTATTTTGAGCAGATTGGCGAAAGGTGGGATTATTCTTTTCAATTTTTCCTAGTTTTTAAGAATTGTGGTTTTAGAAAGTACTACTTCGTATGATATTTTAATATAGGTAGCCTTTATTAAACCTTAAATTTACATAAAGTATTTTTAAAATTTATTTTATCTTAATTCATCTAAATGTGTATTTTGAAATAAGTGCAAATAAGGTGATAACATTAATTATTTCTATTTCGAAATATGCTTTAGCTATGTTCTAAAAGGTTGCATGAAATTCCTAATAGATTAAAGATTCATCACACATAAGAATTTGAGGGGTGAGGCGATATAGATAAATGCATTTCTAGATACACACAAGTATATAAAAGTCGAGTAAAATTCGAGGATAGTTGTTACAGTAGTGAGATCTGCAAATGGTGATATATGGTGGATTATTAAGCACAATTAAGCAGAACAGTAGTTGATTTTAAATTGTGAATTAGATTATTAAGAACTTAGGGCATGTTCACATTTACTGAACTGAGCTGAGCTGAACTGAACTGAACTGAACTGAACTAAGCTGAAATAAATAT